CAATGAGGTCATGCATATTATTAACACAACACACAAAAATTAAAAATATACCCTCCAAACCATTCATGTATTAATGAATAAATTTAACTCTGATCTTTATGAACCAAAAAGATAATATTCACCATGGCACGCAGAAGTAAAAGCAAAATTAATTGAAATTATAAAATAATTATATCTATAGTACAACCTGTAGCAGACCTAGGTGTAGGAAACCATTTATGGCCCTAATCAAAATTGCCTAATAACATTATATGCATAATTAAAAGACTTAATTTACCTCAGTACTGACCACAACTTTTGAAAAGAATCTAATTTCAAGTAATCCAGAAGGCACTGTGATTATGTGAGGTCTTGTAAAATTATTAACACTGATGCCTGCCTAATTTATTTATTTATTTATTTATTTATTGTAAAAATGTTCTTGATAATTATTATTATTTCTAAAACGCACATCGTAGTCGGTCTAGTAAGTGATAAATGTAAGATTTCAGGAACATGGTAACAAAATGAGAGAATGTCACTTTGCATAGATATAATCAAGAAACCCCCTTAACATGACATGCATGTCTTGTCTGTTTCCCCCAATAAATGTACATTACTGTATAAAATCTTAAATTTTTTAACAGTATTGCACTCGATAGAATTCTACAGTAGATTCATAAATATCAGTTTGTTTCTCTTACAACATTAATAATATCAGCATTTATGAATTCAGCCACTACTCATGATTGTGTTTGTGCCTTCAGTTCAAGATTGGTAACCAGCAATTTCTAAGCTGTACTACGTAAATGATTCGCTGACAGAATGTTGTTTATCCTTCGCAGCATTGAATGTATCCCTTATGGCGTTAGTAGAATGGTCGCTAGTAATACTGTCACTGTCTTCATGACGATTCCTCAGGGATTTGATGCTGCTCAACAGGTTATCCCGTGCTGCAAAGCCAACTCTTACCTCATCACTGATGTAATTATCGGAGAAGGATGCTCTCGGCTCAGTTACTTCATCATCAGCGCTGTACATTGGATTTTCATAATAAGAAGGCATACTGTGCGTCTCTAATAACCCTAATTCATCTATCTTTGACATATGTGTCCACTGTACATTATCATCTTCATCCTCATCATCACGTACACTGTCCCTTTTAACTTTATTGACTTGCCAAGTATTTTCAGGTTTTACACTTAATGTATGACCCTTCGTACTGCGCTTGGACTCTCTTTTAAGGTGCTTCTTGTTCAAGTGAATATCACTCAATTCCAAGTCATTCTTAAATGACGGTGTCTGTGTAAGCCTGACGTCTTCAGGTTTTACATCATCACTTATTGTATGACCCTTCGTACTGCGCTTGGACAGTCTTCTAAGGTGCTTCTCGTTTAAGTGAACATCACTCATTTCTAAGTCATTCCTCAATGAAGCTGTTTGTCTAAGACTGACGTCTTCAGGTTTTACATCATCACTTATTGTATGACCCTTCGCACTGCGTTTGGACAGTCTTCTAAGGTGCTTCTCGTTTAAGTGAACATCACTCATTTCTAAGTCATTCTTCAATGAAGCTGTTTGTCTAAGACTGACGTCTTCAGGTCTTACATCATCACTTATTGTATGACCTTTCGTACTGTGCTTGGACAGTCTTTTAAGGTGCTTCTCGTTTGAGTGAACATCACTCATTTCTAAGTCATTCTTCAATGACG